AATTGTGAAAGTTGTAACTAAATCAACCTATTTTGCTACTTTGAGTTTAGTTTAAGTTAAAAATTAAGTAAAATAAATTTCAAATTTTTATACTGTTATAAATAGAAAGAAAAAAGAATTTATTTAGTCTTTTTATATTATTTTATTCCAACATAATGTAAGTTATTCATCTAAATTTGAATTTAGATATGAATTTTTTTGAAATTTTTTATAAAAAAAGAATTTAAACTTAATTTTTGTAAAAAAAATAAATTAATGTACATATTCTAAAATTAAATAATCAAATAAAAAATATATATATATATTAATCTCATAAATCTTTTACACTTAAATATTTAGCTTATTAATAAGTATATCTATCATTTACTTAAAAATTTATATTTTTTAAATTTTTTTTAATTTAGTCCCTTAACATCTCAATTTTGTTCAATTTAATCCTTATGACATGATATAAATTTTTTTAAAAAAATTTTTTTATGTGCCACGTAACACTAACATTTTAATATGTCAGCATTACCACGTCATCATATTAGTACCACGTGGCATCGTCACATTATCACACTAGATGCCATGTCATCAAAATATGCCACCTCAGCACTAACATCAACACTAATGCTATACTTTTTAACAGCAAAATTAGATATCGTTAGGGGGAGGGACTAAACTAAAATAATTTTCAAAATCAAGGCATTAAATTGTTTCGATTTTGAATACAAAGACTAAATTAAAAAAATATATATGGGTATTGGGACTTGGTGGGTATTTTGACCTAAAAAATAGAAAAAGAAAGATGAGAGGGAGATGGGAGTGGGTTGTTGATGGATAGATGCACTTGGTTCAGCCCAAATTCCTAATGCTAATACAGTCGAAACAAGGTAGTTATACAAAAAAAACAGAAAGGTTTTAATGTCACGGATCTCACGTTAGCAAGAAATGAGATGAATTTAAATATATAAACTTAAGTCTTTCACTATCTATCATATATATCTTTCGAATTAAAACTATGAATTTATAATTTATAAATACACTTAAACTCCATTTTCAAAATTTAACATTATACAAAACTAAGTTCAAATTTTGACTCATGACACCTAAGCCGCCCAATTAATTAGTTCTCACTAGATAAACTTAATTTCATCTTCAATTACCAGCATGACTGTGACTTATTTGACCCTTCAAGATCTCTGTATCATTTGACACATTCATTTGAAACTGTCAAAAAAGCAGCATCATATCATTGCATGTTGGTGGGGTTGATTATATGATAAAATATAGTAACAGAAGCACTTAGTAAAACATAATTTTTCTGTAGACTTGCAAGTAAAGCAGTTTACTTTTATATGTGATTATTTAATTAATCAAAAGAAATGACAAAAAAACTCTTGTAAACCTTTCATTCACATCTATTGATATCACTACATGCAAAAACACCATTGTAACTTTTAGTGTGAGAACAACATATCAAGACTCACATGTTCATGAATGTAGAGATTCAAAAGTTTTAACTCTCCCCCCTCAGCCCACTCTTCTTCTTTTTTGCTTTCCTCCAATCAAACTTTGAATTTCTGTTTCATTTTTTGAAAGAATATATTTTGTGTATGTGAAAGAGATCCGCTTGATTGTGCTTCAGTTTTGATGGAAAACAACAGCTGATCAAGCATGGCTTCTGGAAACACAATGGTCCATTAGACCATTCCGGTCAGAAACCAGATACCACGTTTTTTTTTTTTTTGGGCTAAGCCAGACAAAGAAAACCATACCACTTTGGAATAATCGTATTAGGAATGCTCCAAACATTGCATAATTTCAGGAAATGACCCCCTCTGGCCCTCTCCAACGCCATCTTTCGTTCTCCTTTTACGTAACAAAATTTGGGTTTTTCAATTAGAGGCATGAGGACTATTGTTGGATATATTAAGGGAAAAAACTGGGAAGGGTATGTTGCTGATTTGGCCAACTGCAGGATTTCCTGCAAGAGGTCAAATAAATCAAGTTCCATAGCTAAGTTGCTGTTCTGCCTCAGAGCATTAAGGTGACTTGCTATATTTGTTATTAATTATTTTGAGTAAAAGCAGCATGAATCAGCTAT